GCCCTTCCTCATCCTAGCACATACTCATCTCTGTGTGCATACTTGTGCACTGTAATGCCAGCAACAAACACATCTTTTTTAATTAGAAGAAAGGAAATGGAAGTAGGACAATGGTGAGTATAGGCCTTGAAATTACCACAACTGGCACAGAAATAGTTTCCTGACACTTAGGAATATTTCCCCAATCCTGAATTTTTAGATTGGATGGTATACTAACTATTCTGGTAATTTTTCCATGTGAAACAAAATTTTACTTTTTTAGTGCAATGTAAGCTCAGTGTCATTCATGATAAATAGCAATTGATTATGAAAACAGGAAAGATCATCTGCTATGCTGCCTTGAAATTTATATCTCAACATATCTCTTACTCAGTTACAAAGGAGTAGCAGTTTGCCCACATAGCCTCTGTGCTATGTCAGTGTTTCATATTTGCTACATTTGTATTGAAAATATCTATATATTCAATTCCTGTAAACAGTCAGGAATTATATATATTTGAAAATGTCTTTTTAATTAAACAAATTATACTAAATAGACAAGCATACTCATTTGTTTTACAGTCATTTCCTTTGATGAATACTTAGCTTGTTGTTTTTCTCTATGATAAAACATACATAATAATTATTTAGTGTGAGGTTTTTAGAAAGGTATAATAATATCTTTCATTAGAGTAAGATGAAGTCCTATCCATTTGACCATTCATCACTTCAATACCATTGGCAATTGGAAGTAATGACCCAGTGTGAAGTGTTTACAAACAGGAAACCTGTGGTACACTGTTGAGACAAACCTAAAGCAGTTGACATCTTCTCAGCTTGGATGCTCAAGGCTTTAAAACCTCACAGAATGCAATGGACCTGCTATTCCCTGCACAGAATAGCAGTGGAAGCATTCCAAGAGCAGTCATGTCTGAATTTTGTAATGATCATAAAATATAGGCATGGAAATTTTTCTTGAATATTGTTAAATGAAATATGAATCTATTCTTAAAATGCTTCATTAATACAATTAAGGATGATTTGTTGGACTAGTGATTTCTAGTCCTATAGTACTTCATATTTATATACACTTAAGGAATTTTGTGGCATCTAGAACATTGCTTGGTTCACATTGCAATTAATATTGCCATTTAGATAAAAGAAGGCATTAATGTAAATCAAACAAATACAATTATAGTATTTCAAAAGTCATTATCACCTACAAGTAGGAAAAAATTGTTTTTGTTTTTTTATTTTCTTACTCATCTACCTAAATAACACTTTTGAAATCTCCTATGACATTTTAATATCCAGTTATTCTGCTTAATCTTGATTTATAAAAGTAACTGATACTTTTTAACTCTTTATTAGGAATGCATCACAGGGGGTAATCTGGTCACTTTGTTTTCCATGTGTTTATCAATCTCTTTCTAATTCGAACTATCTCTATGTTGCCTTTTGTACCTCAGGCTCCTTGAACAAGCTAAGGTCACATGAAATGCCTTCTTTCTAATGTGACTAAGTGTGTTCTATGTGTCCCAGGCTGTTTGTGAGCTCACAACATTCTTACCTCAGCCTTCAAACTTCATATATTACAGGTATATGCCACCCTATTTGGGCATGATTTATCTTTAAATTTTAACTAGTTGTGGAACTCTGTAATAGTCTCCATCTTCTGCAAAAGAAAGTTCTTTGATATATGGTGACTGGCATACATGTCTGTAAATATGAGGCTCCATAGTTATCACATACATTTGTTTAAGAATATGGCAACCTTGGGGTTTTTGCTAAGGTCTAGGACCTCTCCAGTAATATGTATTTCACTATGTTTATAGTACCATACATGAGTTCTCATCCACAGAGAAGGCTTTAAGTCCAATTAGGTAATTGTTGCTTACCCCCAAGGTAAAAGTGCCACTACTGCCCCAATTTAGTTTTCAGTGTCATCACTTTTGTGATTATTAGGCCATAAAGCTGGGGTTGGAGCATCAATTGAGTTCTGCCTTAGCAGCTTGCATAGTGCTCTCCCAAACTATGAGACTGATCACACACAGAAATTGTCTGTGAATGCCCAACTCTAAGTCGCACACCTATAATGGAACCACTATAACTAAGGCTCATGAAACATAGTGGAACAAGGGGTAAAGAAAATTCTAATGCATCTCTCAACTCTCATCAGTGAAGCTTCTCCGTGCACCAGAGGGCTATGAACACAAAAGGCCACAAATAGCCAAAGCATAGATATTAAGAGTCTGCAGAGTGTGGTTCCATGGACAGGAGTCCTATATTAAACTTTACTCACCCAGGGTTCAGAGACCATTGAGAAAGAAGGAGAGGAAAAATTGTAAAAGCCAGGAAAGGAGGTGCATGATAATATGGAAATAGTTTTACAGGCTCCTGGGAAACTTGTTCAGAAGACCCCCTCAAAGTCAAGGAGACAAAAACACAGCATAGAACTATGGAAATAGGCAGCAGGTCCCAATCATAGCCAAAGAATTATTGGCAGCTGATTGCTGCTGGGTGAAGAAGACCCGATCTTCTTTTATTTATTATTTTTATTTTCCTGATGTATATGTCTGTTTTGTCTGCATGTAGGTAAGTGTACCTGTGTCGTGCAATGCCTGCAGAGGACAGAAGAGGCTGTCAGAGCCCCTGGAACTGGAGTTACGGACAGTCGTTGGCTGCCATATGGGTGCTGGGATTAAAACCTGGGTCTTTTGCAAGAACAGCCAATATTCTTAATCACTGGGCCATCTCTCCAACCCCAGACCTGATCTTCTTAAAGGGATGACTGTAGATAGGCTAATTAAAACCCAAAGGATGAACTTTACTGAGCTATGTCTGGGTATACTAACTTGATTCAATAGACTTCAATATAAATAACAGGATGCATGAAATCCATTGGGGGAACTATGAGAGGGTGCCCACGGGGAAGAGAGTATAAATATAAGATGTTGGACATGAAATATTCAAAAATTCTATAAAATTATACAAAATATTTTAACTAGAAGACGTTTCATCTAATAGAATTCCTTAAGGAAACATTATTCCTCCCTTTTGTGTAATTTAATATCAGTTCTTACTTATGCTTATTTCTCATTGTCAGAATAGTTGTGCATACTGGATAATGTGCATTTTGCTAAATAAATTTCTTTCAGATTCAAAATCATGAAGATTTAGACAGGCTAAAATTGACACATCTGAACAGATTGACTTTTGAAGGTAATAGGTAACAAAGAGATGGTAGAACCCCTTCTCACCTTCCTTGTTTGAAGAAATATAATGGGGCTCCATATACTAATATTTACAATTCATTTCAGTTAATTTGGGAGAAGTGTAAAATCTTTACCACAGGAAGATGAAAGCCCAGATGAAAAGTAAAGCAAAGAAGGTAAATAAAACCAAAATCTTCACAGAACGTATTATTATACATTTCACGTGAAAATAATTTGACACTAAAAACATTGTTGCTGGGAAGGCTAGTAGTTGCAAATCATGGATGCTCCCTCGTGTGCTCAAACTCCTATTTCAGTGTAAAAATATCTTCTAAAGTGTGTGCTGTGTCTGCCCATTCCAGACACACAGAGCGTCAAAGCTAAGAACTCCTATTGCCTAGTGACAAGCTGTGATTTCTCTACATTTCAATGTGATCTGCAGATTTGATGTATCAAATAGAACAAAAATTCAGCTTTGTAGATAATAATTTCCAAAACCATACTGCATTCGCTGAATTCATGGGTACAATCTTTTTCTCTCCTCATAAGTAAAACAAAAGCCTACTTTTCCTGAAGTTTTGTCACCTAGAACCAATAAATAACAATAATGAACAAAGGAAACTTGAAAAACTCAACATTTCCAATTGGCTAAAATATTGATACTTAACAATTTTCATTGTATTCTACATGTGTTTTGAGTGAATCTTTCTAATAGTATGCCCAGGTTTAGGACATAGAAATAGGTGTTTTATAAAATATGCAATACATGCACACAAGCATGCATGCACACACACACACATAAATATATGACATATGTATCAATGTTTTTCACAAAGCCATCGGATGAAACACAGGATTTATAATTTAACTTTTCTACACTTCATACACTTATTTTCTTAATGTTTTGATAAGCAACATGACAACTAATTCAATGCCATATTTCTTTTAATATGATAGGTTTAACTTCCATGATTTTAACTGTTAATAGTGTCTTTCCATCCAAAGTAAATGTTTTTGAAGCACTACACTTTCTCCCATGAAACTCAAACCTTCAGAAGGCATTAGATCTTGGTTCAAGAGTTTTCATCTCATGTTTGTCATTTAAACCTGAGTATTGGCCAGGAGTGGTGGCACACGCCTTTAATCCCACACTTGGGAGGCAGAGGCAAGTGTAGATCTCACAGGTAGATCTCTGTGATTTCAAAGCCAGCCTGGTCTACATAGTAAGTTCCAGGATAGCTGGGACTACAGGGAGACCTTGTCTCAAAAAGACCAAAGAAAAAAAACAGAAAAAAAAAAAATCTGAGTACTGATGAATGGCCAAACTATATGTGCAATTTATCTGCTGTCAATGTCATTCTAGACACATATAATGTCTACTAGCTTCATAACACTTTATATTTTATAGAAAAATATGATTAATTCTTTTAAAAATATTTTATTTAGCATTTTATCTGTAGAGTACATTGCCTGAATGTGGGATTGTGCACCTGTGTCATGCAATGCCTGCAGTGGGAACCTGGTTCCTCTGCAAGAGCAGTCAGTGCCAACTCTCCAGCCCTTTATAATTCATTCTTAATAACATCTCTGAGATAGGTGCTATTATAACTGTATGCGTTTAGGATTGAAATAGTTTTATTTGGAATCAGCATGGCTACTATTGAACTGTATGATCACTATATTAGTTAGTATGTCACTTCTATTGTGTTCCCTTCAATAAGAACAGACTTAGATCTAGCTCTCACCTAAGAACTGTAAGATAAAAAATTCGCTGGGTAATTCCTCTGACACTGAAAATAAAAGGGAAGCACTTTGTGTGTGTATTTGTCCAACAGGTAGACAAAGGCATGAAAGACAGGTGCAAAAATAAACCCTCCTTTGCAGCCCAGAACTCATGGTTGATATGAGTTTTGATACACATAGGAAGGAATATGACAAGGCTGTGCAAAATGATGGTGTTGAGGAAAAGATGGCATAGGAATGGGGCATGACTCGTTTAATGGATCATGTGAGGAAATTCATCACAAGAAGGATATTTATCTGAGCATAGGTGCTTCTGTATTTATCTCAAATTCCGAACTCAGGACATGGCATGTAAGAGTGAAATAAGTGGAGAAGCAAGATGGCAGAGCCCTACAGAGGTAAGGCTGCCTGTGCACACAGCAAGCATGATGCTGGTCTGACCACCCAAGAGCAATGACCGACAGAACTGCTCCCTGGTGGCACCCATGTTCAGTCAGCCATCATCATCATCCAGTGGCTGTCAAGACTTGACTTCACTCCTAAACAACATTAGGAATCTGAAAAGCCTATGGATTTTAGAAAATAGAGGACACTAGTGTAATACTCTCATGTAAAGTTGTGAAACTACCCAACTGACACTTAGAAAATCTTGGATTGGAGGCCTGTAAGCTAATTACTGCCTGTGAGGTAATTAATGCCTGCTGTGAGGACCTAGCTTCTTCAAATTTTACCCACAGCAAAACCCTGTGGGGAATCAACCAGTTGGAGAACATCTTTGTGCACAACAGCCCTGTAGAAAACTAACTTTGATGAGGAAAATCAAATGTTTCTGACTGCAGAGTAAAATAGAAATCCTTACTCAAGATTCCTAAGCAGAGTGAAGAAAAACAGAAATTAAGAGTAAAAATCCCATCCCAAGAAACCTGAGTGTATTCTAACCCAAAACCATATACAAAGGAATGGGAGTGGACCTCTACTTCGGCACACCTCTGTGTAAGAACTATAGATCACTGACACTCTAATAAGACATGATTTCTCTGGCACGGATGTTATGTAAGATGGATGGAATTTTCCATTAGTTAATAGAAGACATGAAGTTGGGGTAGGGATGACAGAGTGAAGGTGAAAGAGGAGGAGGTCTGAGTATAATCAATATTGATTGTATGAAATTTTGAATCAATAAAATTTCTCTTAAAGGTAGAAAAGTAAAAATGATGTGGGTTTAGTCATCTGCATTATAAACTACCATAAAATACAAAAGGAATTAATGGACATGGAGTAAAAGACAAAACAACCACAAAATTTTGCTTGATGCTGATTCTAAAATTACTTACTTCTCAACTATTAACAAGCATTTAGTGTATTGTTACTCTATATAAAACCAATTTCAAACAAATTTATTCATGAAAAAGTATATTTTGTAAAAAGTTATATTGCAGTATTTTGCTTTGTAATATTATATGTGAGTTAAAGTTGTTTTCTGTACTACTCTGACTACATTGGTATAAATACTGAATACACATTTAATGTGAGAAAATTGTACATAAAATATAGAGAAACATTTCTGATGTTCTGGCAGGATAGGATGGTGGAATGTTAGCAAAATGTGAGAACAGGCATATCTCTCAGTTGATTTTATTTGCCCTTTATTTTTTAACAAAGAAGAAGTTACTTTAAATATTTTAAAAAATGACCAGATTTCTCAATTTCTCAATTAAAACTATTTGTTAACACTGATAGTAAGCTGGAATGAAGTATTAAGTAAAAAGCAAATTAATAGCCATTTGTCAGTATGTCTAAAATTTTGAAAATTTATACTATTTTTATTTTACTTTATCTTTTAAAAAATTATTTATTTATTATTTTTATTTTATGTGTCTACGTGTATTGCCTGTGTGTAGGTAAGTGCACTCGTGTTGTGCAATGCCTGTGGATGACAGAAGAGGCTGTTGGATCCCCTGGAACTGGAGTTATAGATGGTTGTTATTTGCCATGTGAATACTGGGATTCAAATCTGGTTCCTCTGCAACAGCTGTCAGTGCTCTTAACCTCTGAGCCATCTCTTCAGCCTGTGTCTACAATTTTAAAATCTAACAGCTAAAATAAGCCTTGGAAAATTTTTCGTACACTGTTTGTTTGTGTTAGGTGAATATAATCTCTATTGCCTTGTCTTTAAGAGAAAATCATAACATATCAAAAGTGATTTACAACATCCTTATAATTCTATATCAGTTCTTAAGTACTACATGCAGAAGTTGCAGAATTTTCAGAGAGAGCAATGGAAGACTTAACTGGGCAAAGCAGGATAATGCTGATAACACTGTGGGGTCATCATCAGCCAAGTCTCTTCCTCATTGTTTAAGGTTTCAAAGCAGCTCTGTGGGTTTTTCCAGAGTGGATTAGCTCTCTGGAGATTTTTGCTGATTATTGAACAAGATAATGACTTACAAACCAGACTCAAATTCATCCTTCAGTGTAGGAGATCTATCTCTGCCCACAATATATCATTTCTTCTCACTCCATAGTCCTTCGTGCTTTTCAATAAGAGAATGAAACAAATTCATAACCACAAACTGTCAGGATGTCTGAACCTAGCACCAGAATCAAGGATTGCAAATGCTGGCAGGCAGAGGGTAGCAAGGGAGCTGATGGGGGATGACCCAGCTGCAAATACAGCTGAGGAAAGAAAGTGCCTGCCATAGTTTCACCTTAATTCTATGTGGTATAAATGCAGAGGATAGTAAAACTTAATTTAAAAAAATACCATAGAATGCACATGAAAGTTAAGAAAAATCTCCAGTGATCTTGATAAGTAGTTTGAGAACCATGAGGTCTGGACACATTAGTTCGTGGCATGGGAAAACATCTCTCCCATACTAGAGCACCTTCGCTTTGGAACAGTTACAGTCACTCATGCAAGACTGTTAGGTCTTCTTTACATGATTTTACTACAAGGTAACCCAAATTAACAGTATTCCACTGAATTCATGGCAAGAAACTGGAATAGTACTGTCTCCTTGTGAAACATTTATACAAATTTATAACTACCAACTATCAACCACCTAATTTATTTTTGTTACTATGTTAGTCCTCTTTTTAAAAAAGAAAATCTGCAATTTCTATTTTAAAGGTGAAGAATTTGGAATGAAATATCTTCAGCGATTGGATACTATTATATAGATAATAAATACCATATAACAATGTGGACACTTGCCTGCTTCAAGTTAAAATAGCTATATATTTCACTTATCCTTTCATCAGTGTGTCCCTAAAATATCTAAACACTATTTCCAAAGAAGTGATTTGTATGCCCAAATGAACGAATTCCAATCATATGACATTACTATGTGATTCCACATTGCAGTTATGCCTGAGTAAAAACTGCCTGAATCTTAGTCAAGAGGAAACTCAGGCTGTTCTGGACAACTATTCCTTCAGATTACTCTCAGAACTGTTCTCCAGACAAAGGCTTTCCTCTCTCTTTTATTAAAACAGTATATTCAACATTGAAATGGGAAAGTAAAAGAGGAACTTTCTTATGAGATTATGTCCCTTCTGACACCTATTGACCTAGGACAGCACAAACACAACCATAAACAGATGTTACCAATTTAATCCCATCTACTGTTCACAATACAAATGAGATTATCTTCATTGCTTCTAACAAACCTCTAGTCTTTTCAGCAGTTGCTTGATTAATATGCAAAACATACATACACACATATATACACTCTACTGAATCAAAGTCAAGGAAGGATAATGAGGGATTAAGGTCCGCATATTACCAGATCACAGGAAGAGCCCTAGGCTCAATGATCTTGTCACTACAATAGAAAAGCTAAGATAAGATTAACTTCTTGGTTGAAATATTGCAAGCCCATATATTGAAAGCAATTCCCACACAATCATATGTATGTATATACATATATACACGCGTGTAGATTTATACACGCACCATCACATATTTTATTCATATAATAATATAATTGATATTTTTCTTGTACATTACTTCCAATGATAAACTTTGCTTAGAGTCAAGTGCTTCTTAAGTTTTATCATCTTACAAGCTCTTTTGAATGGGTAAACTGCTTACAACAAAATCTGAACACATACAGAGATAGAATTAAAAATCTAACACAGTTAAGATACTTTTAAAAAATAGACAAAATAGGATTGGGAATGCATGAAATAAAACCACTAGAACATATTTCAAGGACTTAGTATTAGAAGTACTAAAGCCTGAACAATGAAGAGCTTTCCTGTCAGTTCTGATAGCAGAGAAAAAGTACTGCAGAATTATCATTTTTGCAGCATTTTGAACAACCTCAAAGAAAACTTAACAGACTATTTCTTCATCCTTAATTAATCATACTCACTGGTAATCTCTGAAAAAAAAACTTTGCATTTACACAGTTTGACTCTGTCTTGAGAAGTGGTAGATAAATTAGTGTCTTTGGGAGTAAGGTAGAAACAAATCAGTTTTTTTGTTTTGTTTTGTTTTGTTTTTTTCTGAGTCTTCAAAAGGGAAAATGGGGACACTTTAAATGGGGAAACCATGGCAAAAGGGTTAGACAGTGAGGAGAGAGGATAGATAAATAATGCCTAGCTAGTCTTATAAAAACCAGAGGGAACCATATTTGTCCAACAACCTACTGAAAAATCATACATACATTATCTCTACTTGAGTCCATGTGTATAACTAAAGGCTACATCACAAGAAACTGCCAGACAGGAGATATCTTCCTTTAAGTTGTTGGCTAGGTTGGTCCACGAGCCCCCCAAAATTACTCAGGCTATTGCCACAGCCCTCGATGGCCCCCCAGAACTTGAAGATAAAACCCTACTGACAAAGACAAAACATACTTCAGACACAGGATTTGGACCAACAGAGCTGGAACTAACCTGAAAACACTTTCCCTGAATGCTAGCTCTCATTGTTTCGAAGAGCACTATGAAGGAGCCAAGGGAAAGCATCAATGGATGATCCAACACCAGCTTCAAGACCAAATAACCACATCAATGGCCAGCATAGCATACATCATTGGTGCAGTAGTGGCACTTTATCTTGTGGGCAATCAACAGCTACCTAATTTTACTAAAAGCCCACTCAGTGGGAGGAAGCTCAAGTGTGGTTCTGTAAAGATAACTGAATACACATAGCTGGAGTGGTCATAGATTTTAGAAAAAAACC